TAACAAATAATGGCAATTGCCTTTGTCAAATCCTATTGCTTTTCTCTTCCACCAATAATGTAGAAGGGTTCCCACTTCCTCAAACTCCAATCAAAAAATAATACTGTTATTCGTTTAATTTATTTTATTTCATTACTAGTGAAACTGATCTTATTTAGCAGTGCTATTGGCCATTTATGTTTCTTTTGTTCATTACCTACTTAAATCCTTTGCTCATTTTTCTATTATGTTTACCTTTTCCTTATTGGTCTTTGATAACAGCAGTAATATCAGCAGCTAATATCTAACGTTTATTAAGTGTTATGAGCCAGTTCTGGGTATTTTATGTTTAATCTTGCCTAATGAGGTGAGTGCTTTCACCAGCACTGTTTCATAAACAAGGCATCTAGGCACAGAGAAGTTAAGTAGTTTACCTAAGGTAACATAACTAGTAAATTTGTTATATTAAGGAGATTAACAATTCATCCTGTACATTACAAAGACCATCAACCTATCAACATGTGGTTGAAAGTGCTTTCATTGGTTTATCCTCCAACATTTAATTTTATTTGTGGTGACTCTTGCCTGCAAGGATTAGCTGGACTCTATTGCCCTCAAATAAATTGGCTTTTCTTTTCTGTTTCTGCTTTTGGTATCCGGATCACCTAAAAATATTTTAAATAAATATTCACCTAAGAATATTTATTCTTTAAATAAAAAATATTTTAAATAAATTTAAATATTTTTAAAAAATTCAAATACATTCAAGTAGTATAAAAAGTTATAAAACAGTTAAATTACATTTTCTCCTTTATATGAATCTGAGTTCTATAAAGCAAAAGTATTTCCTTTAACTATTTATGTTTTTAGTTCTTCTGATGGCTGTCCTAGAACTCTAAATAATATGGATAAACCTCTATTTCTTGATTTATCAACTCCACACAATATATATTGATTTACTATTATGAAAGATGTGACATTTTAGTTAACTTATCCCTTCCTTTCCCTCTCCCCTTCTCCAACTAACTCCCGTGAGTAACATCAATTTTGATTGTGAGTGCCTTTATAACTTTATGTAATATACTTCAACCTCTATTTCTTGATTTATCAACTTTAGACAGTATGCCTTAACTAAGTGCTTCATTCTTAATGGGGGAAATCACATGTGAAAATGGTTATTCTCTATATTCCTTGGATCATAAAATGCCGTATTTATGAAAGAATGCTCCACTAGAAGCAAGTCTATCCTTAGTCATTTTAATGAAAGCAAAGGGATCTGTGTAAGTAGAATGGAAGATATTGATATAAATGGTTACATAAATTATACGTATCTTTATATGGCATAGATTACATATATTATAGATATTTTAGAGTCTTTCCAAATATATTGCTTTATTTATTGCTCAGAATAATTTTTTAATGGATATAGAACAACTATTCTCACATTTCATAGGTACAGAAACAAGCCTGGAGAGTTTATAGCCATATACAGTCACTGTCGTGTTCTTCTAGGTTTGGTTTTGTTTCTGTCCAACATCTACTTCTTCTTTTTGGTGGCAATATTACTCTAAGCAATAATCCTACCTTTCCCCAGTCTTAGTTTATGTGCTTCCAAGAGAAAATGGGTATAGTCTTAAACTCATGAAGTGTGCTACTTAGAGCTGAGCCAATAAATTCAGGACATTTATTTCCCTGGCCACACTGGGTCTGAAGAGGCATCCTAATCTATAAGGTGTATTAAGATTTGGATTGGGAATAATGGGACAAGGACTCTTGCTCTATTCTCCTGAAGAAAGTTTCAGCCCTCAGAGTTGCTGGCAGCCAACCTGTTACCAGGTAAAGAAACTAACCTTGAAGAAACTGAGAAAAAAAACAAAAACAAACAAAAACAAAAACAAAAAAAAAACAAAAACAAAATAAGAGTCCTGCTCTTCGCTGGATCCTTTGTTACCATTTTTATTCCTTTATTCAGTCACATCAGCCAACACAAATTCCCTTTTTGCTTACTCCAGTTTGGGTTGGTTTTCTGTCAACTGTAATAACTGCACCCTTAATTCGTAGTAATCCTGACACAAGCTCTTTTTACTTCAATCTAGGGCTTTTTGTAGTCTACCATGCTGTCTCTGAAAGTAATGTCTTTGTTTGGGATTCAGAAACACACATCCTTTAAGACCTCTTCAGTATATCTTTTGCTTTCCTTTATAACCTATTAAACAATCTTTAGAAATGCACAACCATCATGTGGAATTCATTCATTTATGAATCAATTCACATTCTCCATGTTTGGGCATGACATTCCCTACATACTTAAAATGACAGTATGAGTCAGAGAGAGACAAGCTAATTTCGACATTCTTTGTTAAATAAAGTTTCTGGATCATTTTAAGCCATAGGGACACCATCCACCACCAGCTGCTGTGTACAATAGTTGTGGTCATCAAATTTGAATCTTGAGAGAATATCCAAGTAGATGCCCCACTAAGCGCAGAGCCTAACGTTGGGTTCCATCCCTCAATCCATGAGATCATGACTTGAACTTAAGCTAGGAGTCAGACACTTAACAAGAGTCAGACACTTAACCAACTGAGCCACCCAGGCACCCCTCATTTGTTCTTTTAATATGCATTTCAAGCATATAGACTCTGTCTTCAAAAAGTTACTATCTCACAAAAGGCAAATATATGTGTGAACCCAAGATTGCCCTGCTATGCTGGATGGGAACTGATGCAGGTTCATGCTAGGCTGAACTAAGGGCTTAGCATGTGGGCTAGTGGTTCCTCAAAGAGACTGAGGTTAAGTGGTGAAAGACTTGATTTGACAGAAACAAAAGCTGGGGAAGAGGGAACTCTGTGTGTGTGGGCATGAGGCATGAGTTACCAGGCAGAGAGTTGTGTCAGGGTGCTATACAGTTAAATGTGAAGGAAGAAAAAAGTGAGGAGCCAAATATTTGAACTTCTGGTCTGAAAGTCATGCACAACTTTTAAATAGGGCTTTTCGAACGGAGCAAGAAGGTAGTTGGAAGAGAGAGTCTGGAGATGGTGCATTAAAAGGAGAGCGAATGTGTGTGTGAGAGTAGGTTTATAAAAAGAGATCATCATATGTGCTGTACACAAAGTTTAAAAAGCACATAAGCAAGTGAGCAAGTGAAGAGTATGACATGGTGGAAAATTGCACAGGGTGGAGGATGTGGCCAGCAACAAATGGCTCTGGTGGACGAAGAGTCCGGACCCAGGATGGTGCAGGCACACACTACTCAGGAGAGCTCAGGAAGAAGCCAGTGGGGTCCAGGTGCACCAGGTAGACTAAAGAGCCTGAAGGTTTGAATGTGTAGAAGTTCCCATGTCACGTATTCCTAACTTAGTTTTCTTTTACTTTAAAGGTAGAACTCTTTGGGATCACTCAGTGTGAAACCTAAATCGCCAAATCTGGGAACCATAAGATTTTGGCTAGAATGGCAGGGGTCTTGCCCAGTAAGGAAGAGATCTGGCCATGGTGGGAAACACTTTTTAAGACATGCAACCCATGGGTACATGAGAGAAAAGGCCCTGCCATAATAACCATGTATTTACTTGAGGAGAGAATAGACTGTTTCAAATGCCCCCAGGGCTGGTGCACAACAGCAACAGCAACAGCATTCATCCTTGGAGTCTGCATTTTTAGTGGGAACTACTGTGAACGATGGTGCTGGAAGTGGAAAAGGCCAAACTCTCGCTTGGTTGTAGCTGTGTGACTCTTTCTCAAGCTCATTTGTGCTTTCGTGGTTTCGTTTTGCTTGGCCTTTTACAACTTGGCAGGCCAGGAAGCAAAAATGAGGGACTCAGCAGACTTAAATTTTTTTTTACTCCAAATGTTCCTTTGATACGACTATTTCCTGGACAGAGATTCCTGATGTCCTAATTAATTGTTCTCGGTGTTTCTTTAAAAGCATCCTTTAGTATCCGTGTATCTGCCATGGATTTTGCCCTCAATTTGCAGTCACTGATATTTTCCTTTAATGCTGGAAAGGCACTTCTCAGGCCAGGTGAAATACGAGTTTATTTGAAGACCTTGCTTAAAAGTTGCTGAGTTCAGTGGCAACTCTGGGTGGCAGCCTTAGGAAATGTCATCGGGCAGACGAAGAGTACTGCTGCACTGCTGTTTCCAACTCCTCTCTGTGAGATCTGACTTTTAAAAATCTTTTGTTACTGCACAATACATTTTCAAATGCATTTGAGGTAATTAACACCCGGAATGGAGTCCTGTTGTCACATTTAATTATCAGATAGCTATTTTCCTTTGGGGTATTTGACAGTTGCCCAAAATGTTGATCTTAATCTAAAACGAAGAAGAGACCTCTGACATAATGAAAGCCACCGAAGCAGCATTTATTAAATATAAATGGCAAGTATCTAAAGGAGAGGTGAGGAAAGAGCACTAGTTCTCATCTTGAAAGGAAAATTCTTCCAGGATCAAGAGAAAATTATGTTAGCGCTTAGCTGAAGCTCCATTAGTTTCACATGTCATATGCGGATTTAAAGATGTGTGTGTTCCTATAACACATTACAACTGGACTGAGAAATTAAGAGCATTCTGACTCTCAGGTTCTATCTCCAATTTGTCAAACTTACTATAAATACAATGGTTAGCATTAATCCATTATCTGGAAAATGGCTTGTCGAAAGAAAAAAATGAAATGATGTTGATTTGAAATGAGGGAAGCTCATTTATGTGCATTTTAGGAAGTCTAAGTAAATCAGCTAAATCTATGCACCTGAGGAAAAGAAAAGTTACCCTCTGGGTAGTATCTTATAACAGGTTGGAAACATGAAACTCATTAATAGTGTTAGAAGTTAGGTACCTAATGAATTATACTCATTATTAGAGATTTTCTATGGTAGCAATTCCTTAAAAACTAGAAATTGCCACATCTCTATGACATAAGAGAAAAGGTACTTTAAAGCTACTGGGAATTATCACCAACTGGAAGGACGCATATTTTATTCACGTGGTCAGAAAAACAGAGGCCAAGTTCTGGTACTTACTATGTGAGGACAATGGCCACTGCATCATTCAACACACTCTCCCCAAACAGGAGTGTGTATAAGTCGGGGTCCACGTGCAGTTCATGGAAAATGGCCAGTACTGTCACTAGGAGGAAACACACAAATATGCAGTTAGCTGAAACACAGCAATGGATTTGTCCTTGGTTGTGGCCACCTCTAAAAAGGATTCATTAAATGCTCATCTTCTCAAATCTATCCACTGTATCCACACTGAATGTTTATTTTTAAAAAATTATGATGAGTCACCATTCCCTTGCTTACAGATTTCTCTAGGCTTCCCAGATAAAGTTTGAGCTCCTTGGTACAAGTCTTCTATAGTTTGCACCCTGTTTACCTTCCAGAATCTCCCCCTGTGTCCTCAGCTCGCCCTTTACTGCCTGCCTCATGTCACACTGAACTTCCCATAATTTCCCCAAATCACCCAAATCAGGTAGTTTCTAAATTAACTTTGCATTTTGGTTCTCTTTACCAGAGCAGCAATTTCTTTCCCATCCATGAACTACCGTTCTCCCCACTCCTTAAATACACACACACACACACACACACACACACACACACACACACACACACGCAGGCACCTTCTTGCTTCCTCCAAACCCATTCTTCAAGAGTCAGAAACCTCTCAAGTGTCCCCTAGGACCCCAATTCCTCAGCAGAAATCTGGCTCAATCTTTTTTGATCCCCATATTTGAATCAAATCACAGAACTTATCACAGAAGCCACTGTGAGCTCCCTAGGGACAGGGTGCATCTTTGTAACACAAAGTACTTAGGCAAATGCTCAATAAGTGATTGATGCATGAATGACAGAGTGAATGAATACATTAATGAATGAATGTTGTTACATGGCCTACTCCTGTGACGGGAGAGGCAGCGCAGCACCTGGTCTCATTCTCTCTTGAGGTTATGCTCAACTATAAACATGAACCCTGTGTTCCTAAGAGCAGGACCTAAGGACTTGTTTCTGGCAGCCTACTGCATGGCTCCTATATGCATACATATTGTATGGAGCCTCTGAGTAGACATTAGGACAGTAAATAATCACACACTGATTATATGTGTTCATCAGAACCATTCAGTGTCTTGATACTTGAAACAGTTATGCAGAGTATGAACAGCAATCATTAGGAAAATGATCCATTGAAAAGAGGATGATTGAGAATGATACTGATGGTAGATTTTCACTTCTGTTCTTTCCTTTCCTACTTCATGGACTGTGAAGTTAGTAACCATGTTGTATAAAAGAATAGCACTATGGGGAACAAAAGCTGAGTTGGAAGGTTTTGTAAGTTGAGTCAAGATGTTTGGCACTTGTTCTGCTGCAGTGGGGAGCCATGGAAGAATTTTAATCAGAAGAGTGACAATTTGATTTTAGTTTTGGAAATAAAGCACAGGCAGCAGGGCAGAGGGCAAAATGAACATGTGGCAAGAGGCTTTCCCGAAAGTTCTTCCAATGAATGAGCTAGAAAGAATCCTAGATTCAGACTCACCAACTCCTGGAAATCCTGCTTCACCCAGAACATCCACCATCCTGGGTTCTGATAGGTCAATGGCCACAGGACTTTGTACTTTACTTATTCATGGATTCTTATCTTTCCCACGTGTCAGTAGCCCTTAGGACAGGGCTACAATATAGCAAGCCTTTAATGAGTGAATAAATAAAAGGTAACGTCAGAGAGGACATAGTAAAAGAGACTATATGTCCAAGATATTTGGGATGGAGAATTGATGAGACTTGGTATTTGAAAGGCAGCAAAGGGTGACTCTGGGTTTCAATCCTAGACAATTAGTGGATGGGCTGCTGCAAATGAGAAATTAGTTTGTAGACAGGGGAATCTAGTAACTTTGGTTTTGGACATGTTGACTTAAATAGGTGGAATTTCAAGTGGAAATTTCGATAAGAAAGCTGGAAATAAAAGGTTGGAACTGTCCAGAGTTAAGGCAGAAGAAAAAATTGGGGGGTTATAAGCATATAGATGAAACGCAAAGCCACAAGAATGGCTGAGCATCTGGGCAAAGTATATAAGTAAAGAAGAGAGTCCATAAGAGATTTTTAGAGGGCTGAATGGAGAAAAAGAAGCATGAAAAACACATGTGGTATTTTTGCCAAACCTGACCCTAAACATGAACAAGTCAGCTGGAAACTACATCCATCATGAATTTCTGTAGACAGATTTTTATTTACTAAAAATTATCCCAGAGGAAGGAATATTGAACTCAACAACCAGCTTTGGGATAGAAGAGACAACAGAAATAAAATGTCATGAATTGGCATGACAATTAGCCAGATCCCATTTTGCCAGACATAGAATCAATTTCATTATTCTAGCTGAATAGGTCCTTAATTATGATGGGCAAAATGGCAGAGATGTACTCTCTAGTAGTGGGTAGCTGTTCACATTTGCTGCAACCCTTAGCCTTTGCAGGTAGTGTGGTAGGAGGAGAAGGTAGCAATTATCTCTGCTAAGTAATCTCTTTCTCCTTCTTGGATAGAGTCAAGACCCTATACCTCATCAAAACAAAGAGGTTTCAGTTGGGGGTTTTAATTAACAACATTTTCCTTTTACTGGGATCTTGTGGAATAAAAGTGCAGTTATTCTTAAACTACAAAATTCTATCATTGCAGCTTTATTGTTGACTTTAGTCTCTGTAGTTATTTGTATTTCTAAGCTCTGGAGATAACTTGCAGCTCATCTGCATTCCCAGAGAGGTTTCCTAGGCTCACAAATAGGGATGAAGAACATGGGTTCCTCTCCCCACCTCCCCAGTTATGGGGTCCCCTCTGTGCTGAGAGGAACTCTTCATTTTTTCAGTGAGAACTTTAGGCATCTGGAGGGAAAGGCTTTTAATTGAATATCCAGTTTTGTTCAAAACTGTTCTGGCATTCCCACAATTCCTTTTGCACAAAGAACTGAACCCCACTTCATAAGCAATATCCCACACAAAAGAGAAAAGCTATTACTGTGCACATTCCTATCTACCCTGTGAAGAAATGGAACAACTTCGAAATAAAGCCAGGCAGTGTATCCTGGAAGATGGAATATTTGCTGGGACCACAAATGAATTGAATAGGTGAGTCAGGAAATTAGCAACCCACTCTTGCTGCTAAGCTTGGAGCTCTTAAAAACTCATTTCATTAGCTCACTGGCAGGGCTCAATCTTACACAGAATGTCCAAGACTCTGTGGCAACTTCCTAGGAGATAACTCCTTGGAATGGTGTGGACACGCAAACATCAGCTCTGCCCATACACGGCTGGATTTGTAAGGACAACCTGGGCCCAAGGCTGGCCCAAAAGCAACGCCTATTTAGATGAGCCTTCCTGTGAGACTATGAGGAGAACACATTGGACATCATGTAGATAGGAAGGGGTGGAGACACAACCCAATTTCTTAAACCTCCGATTTTAGCAGGGATTTAGTTATGTTTGCTTTTGTCAAATTTTAGTTCTACTTATCTTTTTGTGGCAGGTTCTAACACTCCAACTGGTTCTTGGGACTCCTGCTCCTCCACCATATACCCTCCCTATCTGACTTTTTAGCTAGAGAAAAACCCACATTGTCTCTCAAATTGGTACAAGCACTTATAATCTTAGGCTTAAGTAGATGAACACAAACACACACACACGCACACGCACACACAGCTACTCCAGGAGAGAGTAGTGGATGATTGAGAAATGTCATTGAATCATTGGAGATTTCTGAGAAAGTAACTATAGTAGTCAAATAGCAAGGGGTAGTGGGGAACATGGATGATGAGGCAGTGGTGTGGACTGCACTTCTAAGAAGCTGGTGATGAAAGAAGGAAGGAGAAAAAAGTAGTACCCAATGGGGTAGAAAGCCAAATGGGGCTTTCTCTTAGATTTCTAATTTATAGGTTGAACAGAATAAGCCAGAGGAAAGAGAGGCTGAAGACAGAGGAAAAAGAAAGGGAGCTGCTAGATCAAGATCAAGAGAAAGCAGAGAACAAGTGAGGAGTTGAAATAAAGTTGTCTTCTCAGTAAAGATCATTTGCTGAGTGCAAGGGGACCAATGGATGAATTAGAGGCTAAATGAGGGTTGAAAATATCCAGAATATCTGCTGAGGTGGATGTTTCAAATTTTGTGAAAAATTGTTAAGGTCATATATAGGATAATTCTTATTCTTCAAGAGAAAAGCCCTAACAGTGAAGTAATATATTTTGATTAATTTCTTCATCATACCAAGAGTCTTGTCCCCTACTGCAAACTTATTTTAGCATCAAAACTAATACTTTCTCTTCTCAAATATAGTAAGCATAACTGGAGATGAAAATACAGATAAGGACTGCTAGACCTCATCAATACATCCATGTGCCAACTCTTAAAAAGATGTCCCCCCCCCCTTTTTTTAATGCTAGCATTTTAACTATTTTCCCAATGCTCTTTCTCTTTCAGTCACTTCTAAGTCTTCAGGGTGATTTAATGACAGTCCCTTCCCTAGGATCTCCATTAGCAGCTTTCTGACGTGTGTGTGTGTGTGTGTGTGTGTGTGTGTGTGTGTGTGTGTGTTTTACAAGGAATTTACATTTCAAATGGTATTTTAATGCAGCAGCTTTCAACAACCTAGCACAAGATCTGCCTGGGTTCTATGGACAACCCCACACAATAATTCTTACCCCTATTGTTCTAAGCTATTACTCAGTCTTGTCAAAATGCTGGCTTTCTCTGGAGAGTACTCTCTGTGGTTTTCCAGGCAAATCAGTATGTAGGACACTTGTCCCCGACACATGGAGAATCAAATACCTCAGGCTTGTTCAGTGGAATTTTGTCAGGCCTGACAGGTGGAGAACCCTGGAATTCTCATAAACAAGGTAGCATTTTTCCATTTCCAAAAGTGAATATTGTGCAAATGTGTTTTCTTTTTTTCAGAGGGTTGAGAGAGGAAGAAATTCTCCTGTAACTTTCTCTACTTTTCTGAAATATTGTACACAGTGAGATTTCAAGGAGAGGCTTCCAAAGAAAATTGAAGTATCCTGGATACAGGTTGAAATACTGGATTTTTTTTTTTTTTTTATCCTAAACCTTCTCAGTGGAGACTCAGCAAAGGAATCAGTACACAAATTGGTT